GCCATGTGCAAATGACAAAATCTTGTCTGCTGAAAGCAAAGAGGAATTAAAACACTTACTGATGAAGATCAAAGACTACAGCCTTCAGTTTGTTATACCTCAACATAAAGAAAACAAAAATATGCACACATGGACCAATAATTAAATCATGATAAATGGTGAAAAGATTTTAAGTTGTCGAGGATTTCATTTTATCTAGATCCACAATCTACGCACATGGAAACAGCAGTCAAGAAGTCAAATGACGTATTGACTTGTGTAAATCTGCTGCAAAAGACTTCTATGAAGTATTTAAAAGCAAAGATGTTACTTTTAGGACTACATGCGCCTGACCCAAGCCACATATTTTCAGTCACTTCATATGCATGTGAAAGCTGATCAATAAATAAGGAAGAATTCATGCCTTTGAATTATGGTGTTGGTGAATACTGAATATATCATGGACTGACAGAAGAATGAACAAATCTGTCTTGGAAGAAGTATAGCTTCTTAGAAGCAAGGATGACTAGACTTCATCTCACATGCTTCATATACGTTATTAACCCAAAAACTCACTGCCATTGAGTCGATTCTGACTCATAATGACTCCCATTGGGTTTCCTTGGCAGTAAATCTTTATGGAAATAGATTGCCCCATCTTCCTTCCATGGAGTGGCTGGTGGGTTTGTACCACCAACCTTCTGGTTAGCAGTCAAATGCCTTAAGCACATGCCACCAGAGCTATTATCAACAATTGGAGTTATTAGGAGTGACCAATCCCTGGAGAAGGACATCATGCTTGGAAAAGTAGAGGGTCAGAGAAAAAGAGGAACACACTCAACAAGATAGACTGATACAGTGGCTGCAACAATGGGTTCAAACATGGCAACAATTGTGAGATGGCACAGGACCAGGCAGTGTTTCATTCTGTTGTACACAAGGAAATGATTATCAGTCAGAAATGACTCGATGGCACCTAACAAAATCATCTCTTTTTTTAATTGAGCAATTTTCTTTCAAGTGCCAAAAACATCTCTCTCTACCTTGTAGACTCAATTTTGTTTATATAATTGCTTTAACAAGGCAGTATGGTAAAGACCAGTGGCTGCCAAGTGATAGAGGAACAACTGTGCAGCTTTATTACGGTTTTTCCAGAGCTCGGTCTATAGTAGGGACGAAGGTACTTGTTAAAATGAAGTGGAAATAGTTAAAATGATTTCCTATCTTCCAATTAAAAAGAAAAACAAACACATTTTAGTCTATTATAGGAACTCTTTTAAAAAGACAACTAAGTTAAAGATGCTTATCAGAATGCTAGCATGCAAAACTGGAAATACAATTGTATAAGTAAAGTGAAATATTTTAGTAAGTTGGGAGTCACTGGGTGAGGTAAACAGTTAATGTGTTAACAGAAAGGCTGGAGGTTCAGGTCACCCAAAGGTGCCTCAGAAGAAAGGCTTGGTGACCTACTTCTGAAAAATCAGCCACTGAAAACCCCATGGAGCACAAGGGTTTTCTGACACCAAAGGGGTCATCATGAGTCAGAATCCATTCAATAGGAACTGGTGTTACCTAAGTTATGATACATCAGTTTAAACAATTACTTCATTCTTAAAAAAATATTAATTCTATGCAATAACTGAAAAATGTTTACAATTGAAAACATGTGATACAAAATTTTATATCCAACATGATCACTACCTGTTATTTCAGGGAGAGGGAATGTCCATATCAAAATGGAAGTGGTTATTTCAGAAAATGATGAGTCATTTTGTTTTTCCTTTCTCTATCTGCTAAAATTTATTTAACTTTTTTTTTAATATCTTCAGATAAAAATCAAATATTACTTCAACCTACCCCAATTGAGAAGACAGGTTTCTAATTTTCTATTTTGACTTAAAAATGAAATTTTAAGTGAAGATATAAATTACATCTTTCTTATTTTTTAAAACAGTGATTATTTTCTCATATTCCATGGCTAATGATGTTATTATGTACTCTTATATTCTCAATAACTGAAAATAGTTGTTTTGTCCATTATTAACAAAAAACACAATCTCAAAAAATGAAATACCATTAAAGGCCTAGAGTGCAAAAAACAGTGTGCTCTGAAAAATGTGCCACTAAAATCTTGTAATTTTAAGAAGTAAGAGTAGCTTCACTAGGTGTCCTTAAGAAAATTACAAAATAAGTGATTTCATATGTAGAGTTTGCTTTTAAATACTCCAGCAGGAAGAGGTCAAGTAGGGGTGCAGTGAGTAGGTGGGAAGGGTGAAATGAGAACAGCAGCAGAATGCTGATAACTGCTGGAATCAGGTGATAAGCATGTTGGTGCTCGGTATCTTATATTATCTTTTGCATATTTGCAAAATTCTGTAATAAAAGCTTAAATTTTTTTTTTTAAAAAAACCTCTACAGATGGATTATTACAGAGAGATACTTAAAGCAATGCCTCTATCATGTCTAAAATAGACCAGAACAAATAAAAAAACTCACTCTAATGAAAATCTCCATGTGGTCTACAAAGTATTTTGTTATTACATTTGCATATTCTGGTGAAAAAAGTATTTACTGGTAAGTACACCACAAGTTAAAAGTTGTATGAAAGGTTATTACCGCCATCTGCTGGGCACTGTGATTGACTACTTGCTTTAAACTATAAACAAGACTAGCTTTTTTTTTTAAATACAACTACACTTGAAAAGATTTTATCTAAATCCCCACCCTCACCCTAGCATCTAGTCTTTAAGATTACAGTGTTAAATAATACTATTAAGTTCATGTTCCCTTGTGTGTTTCTATTCTAACAGCATGAAATGCCACTCTCTAAGAGGTGTATCATGGAAAGCACATTGATGAAAGCCCAGATCCGAATTATTTGTGCTCAGGGTTAGAGCCTAGAATTTAAGTTATTGATACACAGGGATAGATCAGACTAACCTTCCTGGTTTGGTCATAGCCAAGGAAGCGAAACTAGAACAGATAAGAATTTTTAAAATTTGGGTGAAACGGAATGATACCCAAGTTGAGGCCCTGATACAAACTTAATCTTCCTCTTAGAAAACAAGGGCAGCATACGTACTGTATAGCAACCAAATCTCTTGCTTATTGGACAGAATCCAAAACAGAGGTGTCCTGCTCAAAGATGGGTGTTGCTCTTCACAGTCTTGCCAGTAATCCAATCTCACACATCAGGCTCCTGAAAGGCTCACCATGCCTCTTCTGAATCTCCCATTCCAGGGCTTTGACCTATAATTTTTGCCACCCAGGTTATCATTCTGGATCACACAAATTTTAAAAATTTGGGTCTGTTCCAGTTTTGCTTCGTCAACCATGACTGAACCAGTTCAAACCCCTACCTGACCCTTAATTTCAGTGCATTTTATTTCAGTCTTAAAATCTTGACTTTTACTGAAAATTTTACATCTCTTATTACTTGTCTAATTGCATATAGCAGTAATTTTCAGCCTTACTGCAACTGAATCACCTGTGGAGTGTTAAACTGATGCTGTAACCAAACCTAGAGATTTTTTTATGTAGTCAGAGTTAATAACCATTAGTATACACCAGCATCTCTCAAAATGTGGTCTCTGGACCAGCATTACTCTATCATCATCAAGTCATCATCACTTGGGAACTCGTTAGAAATGCAAATTTTCAAGGTCTACTCCAGATTTCTAGATAAGGCCCAGTAGTTTGTTTTAGAAGCCCACTAGGTGATTTGGGTGCAAGAATCAATAATATTTACTATAAAACTTTAAAGTTCTTACTCTTTTTAAAATATGATTCAACTTGCTATTCTCTAATAAGAATAAAATACATTACAAATAAGAGATCTGCAGGAAGAGTAATCAAATGCAATTCTACTATTTCTCCAAATATCTATCATTATAAACATTCAACATTAGTTCTAGTTAGCCAATAGGAAAAATGTTCTAATGGAAGGTTAGGGAATAATTTATTCATAGGCCAGTTAATAAGACCTTGCAATGTTCTTGCCCAAAGAAATTTTCCCAACCAGATTTCCTTGCTCTGGTTTGCTGTGATCAAATGGAATCTTTCTAAAACATAAGATCTTTAGCCATATCATACCCTCTGATCCAGAAATCCCACTTCTAGAAATATAAATGGGAAAATATTATTCTCAAATATTTTCTCCAATGCATTGTAAATAATAGAGGGCGTGAGGGAATGCCAAAAACAATGTAAATAGCCAACAACTGGTGAATGATTCCACGAACTATAATATCACTAGGATGGAATATTACTCAACCATTAAAATGATTCTTTTCATAGAAGTTTTAAACATGAGGAAGTGCTTACTTTATAACATTATATTGGAAGATGGATTCAAAATTGTACATTCAGTATGAGTTCAATGATGGTTTTAAAAAAAAGTGTGTGCATACATACACACACATTCTCATAAAAAAAGGAAAGCACCAAAATATTAACACTGCTATTTCTTAGGATTACAAAGCATTTATTCTTTTATAATTATCAGTGCTTTTAAATTTTTCAAAAATAAAAACTAGATTTCTCACCCACACTTTTAAATGGCTTAGTTGTTTCCTATACTCATACTGTCATTAATGATATTCAGAATACTTTGAATAAACATTTTCCACATTTTTTTCCTTTAAAAAAGAGTCATTATTTGTACTGCAGCTCCTGACTCTCAGTCTCTCTCTTACGGGACTGAACATGTTAGTCTTCCCTTATATGGTTATGGCTCTTGAGGCAAAGTTATTATGCTAAAAAATGGCTTCCATAATTACCAGTATGTAGAATTGAATTCTAAGGAAGAAAATATGACTGGATCTAAAAAGTAGGTTCAGACACAGAAAAAAATTTATTGTATTATATTTGAAATTATCATAAGACTTTTCATTGTTAAAATTCACTTTTAAGTGTAATAACCAAGAATTAACAAGAAAACACCAAACTTAGAAATTACAGAGTTTTGTAATTTTCTCTGTAGCTTCCCAATCCACTGAAAATAATTTCAGAAGTCAATACTGTTAGGCAACTTCTTTGTTACTTTCTTTGGTTTCTCCTTCTTTAGGCAAGAATGGCTCCATTTTTAGTAACAAGCCTTCACTTGTTGAGCTACGAAGGAAAGCACGTACAACAAAGGGTCCTAGAAACAAAGACAAGAATCAAGTTTTATTTTATTCCACAGATGCCTAAGGAGCAAATACACATATACAACAACAAACCTTACAAGACTCATGTCATGTTTCACTTGAAAAGAAATATTACTGAACTAATATTTCAAATTATTAAAAGAAAGGAAGATTGTTCTATTTCTAGAGTAGAAGACAAACTGGCTGTACTTCAGAAAATTAGAGATTTGTCCTTGAAACTACACATACTCACTAATAATTCATGTCTCTCTTCCAGAAGGTAATCACATAGAATTTATTTTATTGCAAAGTCAATAGTGAAGGGAGCAGGTGGTGATATTCACATTTGATGGAAATATTCTAAATATTTATTTAAAACAGCCAGCACAGATGCTATCTCTGTGTTACCAAACAATGAGTATAATTCCCCAAAAATGAAGTTTTTCATAAGATCAATGTTAAGGAGATTCAACTAAAACAGCAAAAAGAGGATAACTACATTGTTTTCAGAGGATTTACTATCTATCATTATATTCCTACTAGAATTTTAGAGGATTCTATCCAGAAACCAAAGTTTCTCATCAAATATAAGAATCCATAGTCATATAATTACCAAGTGCTATAGCTGTATTTCATTTAAAAAAAAAAAAAAAACTCACTGCCGTCAGGTTGGATCCAATTCACAGCAACCCCTTCTTGGGTTTCCAAGGCGGTATTACTATGGAGGAGCTCTGGTAGCATAGTGCCTAAGGCACTTGACTGCTAACCAGAAGGCTGGCGGTTCAAACCCACCAGCCACTCCTTGGAAGGAAGGTTGGGCAATCTACTTCTGTAGTGATACTGCCTTGGAAACCCAAGAAAAGGTCACTATGAGTCGGGGCTGACTCGATGGCACATAACAACAACAACATTACTATGGAAGTAGATGCCCAGTCTTTCTTCTGAGGAGTAGCTGGTGGGTTTGAACTGTCAGCCTTCTGGTTAGCAGTCAAGTACCTTAGGCATTACGCCACCAGAGAGCTCCTGTATTTCATTTAGGACAATAGAAATCAATGAGATATTTATTCACCAGTGTGCTTAACTCCCACAGAAGGGGAAACCCAGCTTAAGATTGAATTTTAAGTAAACACTTGTTATAAAACTAAACCTGACAAATTCTTGCCATGTTAAACCCATAGGTACAATGACTATGATGGATCCTTGCTTGGCTTCAACCAGTACAAGTGAAATTTGACTAAGGAAGGAATTTGAATGTCATATAGGGTAATGATGAAGACACTAAAGGCTGCTCCTAACCTACTACACTCACAAATCTCAACTTCCACATCACAATCAAATCTTACTGGTCTCCATTAATTAGCTGGCTCTCATGAAATAATAAAAAACTTGTTCCTTTTCTAAAATAAATGAATGAATGAGGCTTAAGAATGCCAATTGCCAGTGCTGGTGACAAAGCCAAACTCTGGCTTCAAGATATCATTCCATAAATTATTTTAGTTCATATTTAACACCATTCAAAGTTTAAAGCAATCAGTTACCGTTTTCTTTCAAACTGTATCACATTTCATAGAAGAAATAATGTGGATATTTGCAAGGTTTCTGAATGTATTCCTTATTAATGTTAAAGAGGTCTCCTCTCTAGACAACCACAGCTCATTACTAAGGTAGCAAAAAATGTTTTGGAGAATTACATTTTACTCATTTAATCCCTGGAAATACTGGTGCTATTGTATTTTTAAGTTAACTTGACTGTTCAATATTTTATATCTTTATAGCATTACAGTAGGGCTATAGAGAAGTCTACCGTTAGCAAACTGCTTACCCAAACTTAGTGGTCTGTGCCTACAAACATCATTGACAACAGCTTGCAGATTGGCAGCTATCTGATCACTTGACATTTCCAGCTGAAAGAAAATGATATATAATACTAATGATCCAAAAGTGAGAAGATAATAGAATCTGGGTAGCTGTATCAGTATTTATTCTAGATACTGTTTTTTTAAAAATTCAACTAATGAAAATTACCCACTAAGACACCACTGTGAAAGAAAAACCTCCACCCTTCTTTTAGAATGTCTTTACATGTCAAGCTTTAATTAGCTTATAAAGCATATTACAGCAAAGCTCTATGAAGTTGTTGTACTTGAGAATCCTTGACTTCTAAGTAATTTCCCCAAAGCATACACTGGGGCAGAATTCACAATCCCCCAGCTCCACACCAAGGAATTAGTGATATTTTCTTTTGAAGTTATTTGTTGATTTACTCTAAATGAAATGAAGAAAATGTTTAGAAATGAATGCTTTCATGAGTTCAAAGTAAAAGCTACTCAAATACATACATTCAGAAAATGCATATCTTACACAGAGACATTTTCAGGATGCTTGCTAATAATGTTAGTTCTAATTTTTCAAACACTTCACCCAATAGCAATTATCTTTCCATTTAGCAAAAACTATTACAAGTATAACATACAGAGAATGAGTCCTAGTCACAAAACTCCTAAAGCCAGCTCATAGCTTTGAAAAGGCCCGTTTATCATTCAAATGAAATGAATGTCACTCTTTCCAAATGTACCCATTAAAATCAGTTATGTTACATTCAAGCATTTTGAGGATTTTGTACTTGGCTAAATTAATAAAATTTTAAAAGTTCATATAAAACTTAATAGCAGTAGAACTGGCAAAAATCATCCGGTAAAAGAGTTCAAGTTCAAACAAGATTTCTATTTTCTAATGATGCTGAGACCACTGTGAGAAATGTGCCATATGAGTACATTTTTTTTTTCACTTCCAATTGAAAAAAAATTATTCTCATCACTATCAGACAACATTAAACATCCATTTGGGAATGATGCAATGCCAAACTCCAAATAGAAATGTTTGGACATTACTGGAGGAATTTTCACTTTATGCCAATCCAAAAGTGGGAGTCCTGGGGGGGGGGGGGGGGCGGGAATCAAGATGATACTTAATTTACTTTATAAAGTCCACATACCTTATAGATGTCAACTTGAATTGAAGCAAGTTGTTTACTAGTACCTTATGTTTTCTGTTTTTTTTTTTTTTAAAGAAAAAGCTAAGGGCATTAAAATGTGTCCCTGCCCCCTTTCTTTCCTCTATTAATCCTCTACTTACCTCAAATTGTCCTGTCTATTATCAACTACAGTGACCATCACAGCCCCAGTAAGTTGCTGTTCCCTTTGTAAAAGATCTAAACCTACCTTACATTTAGAAAAGTAACAGATTAAAGAAAAACCTAGATGTTCAACCTAGTTTAACAGTTATGATCTATATAAAATATGTATATAACTTCTCAGATATTTGTAACTGTTCTTCTTCAGATTTAATATAGACATTGCCATTTCTACAGCAAGCTAAAATGAACAACACATGCTTTAGAAATGCAAAACAATTACTTCCCCTGTGACTTTCATTATTAGGATGCCTTCAATTATTTTACTGATCAATTTAAGTTTCAAAATATGTAAAAATGTTTAAAACACAACGTATACTTTTTTACACATTTAAGCATCTCTTCTCGTTAGTGTTCTGTGTCCTTTACTGAATTTAAAAATATATTTATAGCCATAATACTTTTTCTTTTAGATACTGTACACAATTATGAAAAAGTTACAGATTTTAGTGGAATTTCTGTGATAACATTATTGGCTACTGACAACACAGCTATGCACTGAAACAAAATCTATCCAGGCATGAGTCTTATAAAAACTTGCACATGAGGTACATACACATAATGCAATACTATGCAAAACTAAAGAATAATGTAGAATCTACAAACCACCACCTAACATGGATGAAATTGGAGGACGTTATGCTGAGTGAAACAGTCAATCACAGAAGGACAAATATTGTATTGGTTCACTATTGTAAAAAGTCAAGGGATGGTTTATATATGGAAGGAAACTTTTTTGGTTACCAGGGGTGGAAGGGGAGGGGAGGGAACACTGCTAGGTAGGTAGAGACAAGTATTGATTTGGGTGAAGGGAAGGACAATGTACCAAATGTGAGTCATCAACATGGTAGCACTGGAGAAGAAGAAGAGAGAGGTACATGGAGGTACAGACAACAAAGACGAACCCTTTTGCATGTACTGTACTGCACTGTCAATGATGGCAAGCATTGATCCACAGGTGGATAGATGGGTAGACAGGCTGAATGATCAGGTATGTCTAGACGGAGGTAGTGTGTCCGTGACCATGTATAGGGTTAGCAGACAATGTTTCTACATGTGTATTTGTATTTTCTGTAAGAATGTCCAGGTACATAGTAGAGCTGACAAGGGGCAAGGTTGTGGTGGCTTCTTAGCCACAATCAGCTACCTAGAGGGACCAAGTAGTTGGACCTGCGGGCTTGGGACCATGGTTCCGGGGGACATCAAGCTCAGTTGGCATAACATACTACACATTGTTCTCCTATTTTGGTGACACCAACTAGGATCTTGAAAACTCGCAAGCAGTCATCTAGATGCAATGATGGGTCTCTCCTCGTCCAGAGCAAAGAACAATGAAAACCAAAAATGTATGGAAACAATTAGTCCAAGAGACTGGTAGTCCGCATGATCCTTATCCTATATGACCATGAGACCAGAAGAACTAGACGGTGTCCAGCTACCACTGTCAACCACTCAGAGGGTGATCAACGCATGAGATCCCGGATAAAGTGCGAGAACAATGTGGAACAAAACACACACACACACACACACACACACACACACAAAAAGATCAGGTTTGCTGGTCTGATACAGCCTGGTGAGACCCCTGAGACTATGACCCTTAGCCACCCTTCACGTCTAGAACTGAACTTACTTCTGTGGCTTCCACCCAAACCACATACAGGGATATGGGGTGAACATTTACATCAGGTGGATATACTCCTTGGAGCGACCAATCATGGGAGAACAGAAGGGCAGTGTTTGCACAAGGAGACAGTTTGGGGGACAGGAGTTCATGGAAGGGAAGGACACAGGGAAATGTACCTACAGAGAGGAAGAAGGAAGAGAGCTGTTACATTGTGGGGGACTGCAATGTCATGAGACAAAAGGTATATGAACTGCTGTATGGAAAATGAATTTTCTCTGTAAACTTTCACCCAAATCACAATAAAAATTTAAAAAAAGAAACAAAACAAACTTGCCTGTGAAGTTTCTTTGACTGACAATGATCTAAAAATAACTTAAGAAAACAATATTTGCAAACCTTTTTGCCCACATCTCAGTTATTCTGCACTTCCAATAATGCTTTTTTCTTAAAAACACAAGATTTTGTGTTTTTAAGGCAGCAGGAATGACCTCTAGGACTGAGGACATTATCTGTTAGATTTTTCATAGCAGAGCATAATACATGAAATGGCAAGGAAACCAAAACAAATCTGAGAGATGAAGTTGACCTTGAAGGGGATACTGAACTATTTTATGCATCGTATTTGTGTGTGTGCATATGTGTGTATTTGAATATATATATATATCCTTAACTTTTTTTTAGGTCAAGGAAACTTACTCCAGGAAAACACACACAGGCACAAACAAAATTTAGCCTACACTTTGAGAGTGTTCATGTATTCTCTGATTTAAAGACAGGGGAAGAGAAAGGAGGGCTCGTACAGAAAGTCTATCAATTAAGAGGATCCCTGGACCACGCTTTGAGAACCAACAGTATAGAGGTAAATCTATTTCTATATTTTGAAGGACTACAGTGTGGAAAAGGGGCAACTCTGGTAGCATAGTGCCTAAGGTACTTGACTGCTAACCAGACAGCTGGTGGTTCAAACCCACCATTCACTCCTCGGAAGGAAGATGGGGCAGTCTACTTCTGTAGTGATACTGCCTCGGAAACCCAAGGAGGGGTCACTATGAGTCAGGTCCAACTTGACAGCATATAACAACAACAACAACAACAACAGTGTGGAAAAAGGGTCAGTGTTTTTAGACTTCTTCTTTTCCAAAAACAGATAAAAATCTACATTTCTATGTGTGATGAGCTGGTTTTTAAATGCTGACTCAGTAAAACAAAACAAAACCACTATCTGGGCCTGACAAAATATGTATGGGGCCAATTCAGTCTGCAAACTGCCAATCTGTAACTCTAGTTTTCAGCTTATATCACTAAAAATGGCAAGAGATACTGAATTTGAACCTGAAACAATGATTTGAGACTGGATTGCAAAGGGATTTGAACACTATAACCTGTCAGCAATGAGAAGACATTACTGTTTTTAAGCAGACAAACAGCATATCTGATCTATGTTTTGGAAGAATTTCAGAGCAAAGATGTAGAACAAGGTTTGGCAAACTTTTTCTGTAAACCGCAGGATAGTAAAGACTTTAGGCTTCACAAACAAAATGGCCTCTGTAGCAACTACTCAACTCTGCAATTATAGTATGAAAGAAGCCACACACAACATACAAATGAATTAACAGGGTTGTATTACAATAAAACTTTATTTACAAAAATAGATGACAGGCTAGAGTTAGCCCACAAGCCACAGTTTGTCAAATCTTGGTGTAGAAGGTAGAATGAAGGATGTTTGAGGGAATGAATGGGCTGAACAGAGAAGCAGTGACAACCAAAGCTGGGACCACAAATATGAGCAGGTAAATAGAGGCACTTGCCCTTCTCCTTATTCCTGTCTCCAGGCCTCTAATCAGCAGAGTTTGGCCTGGAAAAGTGACCAGGGCAAGGTATCCTAAACTAAATCAAGTCATCATAGTCCTATAAAGGTGTAGAGTAGGAGAAGGTGAGAATGAAAACTTAATGAGTCCTCACTTCTGGTCACCTGAGTTATAAAAACCTGGTTTCAAACCCATCAAAGGAAGGTTGGATTGGATATGAGATTAAAGCTCTGAACCGTCTCAGACTGCACTTCCAGTTACAGGGAGTCTCCGAAT